CGTAGCTAGGAATAGCGGGGCCGCCGGGGACTGGGGGCCGTTTGTTTGTTGCTTTAGTCATAGTGGCGGTTAAGAATATCCACTGCCCCATATCTTCCCGTGGGTGTCGTAAAAGGCGACAAAGGGAAACCGGCAGGAGATGGGCAGCAGCATCTTCCTGGTAATGGCAAAAATACAATAAAAAACTGCGGTTGCCAACCCGCTCGCCAAGCGTGGCAACTATGGCAATATACCCCCCATGATTAAAGTTACGAAGAGACGGCCCAGTCCCCGGCGGCCCCGCTATTCCTAAATACGGTGGCAACCATGGTAACGGCGGGGCAGGGGGTGCTAAGAATCTCCGGTGGAGGTACGGTTGCCACCTACGACGACTCGACCTGGCAACATACAACGCATGCACCTTGAGGACTGACGAGAAGATTGTGGAGCTGGAAGAAGAGATAGACAAGTTACGCTTGGCATATTATAGGATTATCCGAAGAGAGGGGGAGGACACGGTAATCCTCGAATCCGGCAACTTGCTCTATCACCGGGAGAGCATTAGGGCGACCATCTGTCCCAAGGAGGTGTCGGATTTATCGTCCACAAGTCTCTCGTTAACAACGTTGTAAAGATCGGGAGCGTGTCGACGAGGGTTGCGTACCTTATACTCAGAATCACCAATTATACTCAGAATCACCAAACGGTATTCGCTGAAGGTCATACAGGTTTACGCACCAACCTCGGCACACCCCGATGAGGAGGTGGAGGAAATGTATGAGCATATCTCTAGAGCCATGCATTCCTCCAAAACCCAATATACGGTGTTAATGGGAGACTTCAATGCAAAACTAGGCACAAGAGAGAACGGTGAGCTGAAAGTAGGGAAATTTGGAATAGGGCAACGGAACCCAAGGGGCCAGCAGCTGGCCGACTTCATGGAGAAAGAGGGACTCTTTATGATGAACTCTTTCTTCCAGAAACGGCCCCACAGGAAGTGGACCTGGTCGAGCCCCGACGGTTCGACAAAAAATGAGATTGACTTCATTATGACGACCAGACGACAACTGTTCAGTGATGTCTCAGTGATCGCGAGGGTGAAAACCGGCAGCGATCACCGAATGGTTAGAGGCACACTGAACCTAAACGTTAAGTTGGAGAGGTCTCCTCTAATAAAGTCAACGCTCCGTCCCCCTCGTGCTCTAATCCCGAAACCTTTCAGCTCGAGTTACAAAACCGTTTTCAGTGCCTAGGAGACTGCAATGAAGTAAACGATTTGAATGACAAGCTCGTGGAAACTATCCATGCGGTCGGAGCTATGTTCTGCAAGACCCGCCACAGAAGAACACGAAAACTCTCCGATCACACTCTTAATCTCATGGCTGTTAGACAGGAGATGAAGCTACATTCTTCAACAGATTTGACAGCATACAGGCAACTGAACAGACAGATCTCCATATGCATGCGGCGATACTTACGCAACTTCAATACAGCTCGTATTGAAGAAGCGATCGAGCAGAACCAAGGCTCCAAAGTCTTTGCCAGAGATCTGTCTGCCAGAAAGAGCCAACTGTCAAAGCTGAAGACCGAATGTGGCAGCATCGTTTCCGGGGCAACTGAGATTTTGAGTGAGATTGAGAGGTTCTATGGGCAGCTGTACAAGTCATCGTTGGAGCCGCACGCAAGTGTGAGTAACGATCCAAGAGCGAGTCTTATCCGACATTATTCCAATGATATCCCGGACGTCAGTCTGAGCCAGATTAAAATGGCTCTCCAGCACCTTGAAAACGGAAAGGCCCCAGGCGAGGACGGAATTACAGCGGAGCTTCTGAAAGCGGGTGGAAAACCGGTACTTGAAGTCCTTCAGAAGCTCTTTAATTCCGTCCTCCATGGTGGCATTACACCGGAGGCGTGGAGCAGAAGTGCGGTGGTCTTGTTCTTCAAGAAAGGCGACAACGCTCTCTTGAAGAACTACAGACCGTTTTCTCTTCTGAGCCGCGTCTACATGCTGTTTTCGAGAGTCATTACGAATCGTCTCGCGCGCAAACTTGCCGACGTCCAGCCTCCCGAACAAGCCGGTTTCCGAAAAGGCTTTAACACCATAGACCACATACATACCCTTCGGCAAATTGTACAGAAGTCCGAGGAGTACAATTTGCCACTATGTCTGGCGTATGTGGACTATGAGAAAGCCTTTGATTCCGTCGAAATTTGGGCGGTGCTGCAGTCCCTTCAGCGGTGCTAAGTTGACTGTCGGTATATCGAAGTGTTGAAGTGCTTGTACAGTAGGGCTACGATGGCTATCCGAGTACAGAACCAGATTACGAAACCTATCCAATTGCAGAGAGGTGTAAGACAGGGTAACGTCATATCCCCGAAACTCTTTACCGCTGCATTGGAAGATGTTTTCAAACTTCTGGACTGGAAAGGATACGGTATCAACATCAATGGCGAGTACATCACTCACCTTCGATTTGCCGACGATGTAGTCCTTATGGCAGAATCGCTGGAGGACCTAAGCACTATGCTCAATGACCTCAATAGTGTTTCCCAACGGATAGGTCTTAAGATGAACATGGACAAAACAAAGATCATGTTTAATGTCCATGTCACACCTATGCCGGTAGTTGTTGGGAACACTAAGCTCGAAGTTGTTGACGAGTATGTTTACCTGGGACAAATAGTCCGACTAGGTAAGTCCAACTTCGACCGAGAGGTCAATCGACGGATTCAACTCGGTTGGGCAGCGTTCGCGAAATTACGGCACATCTTCTCATCAGGTATACCTCAAAACTTGAAAATGAGACTGTACACCCAGTGCGTGTTGCCAGTGATGACATACGGAACTGAGACGTGGTCCTTCACTGCTGGCCGGATGAGGAAGCTCAAGGTCGCTCAGCGAGCTATGGAGAGGGCTATGCTCGGAGTTTTTCTGCGTGATAAACTCAGAAATAAGGATATCCACAGTAGAACCAGAGTGACCGACATAGCCCAACGGATTAGTAAGCTGAAGTGGCAATGGGCCGGCCATGTAGCTCGAAGAACCGACAACCGATGGGGAAGAAAGGTTCTCGAGTGACAGCCTCGTACCGGCAGGCGAAGTGTAGGGCGTCCCCCCACTAGATGGAGTGACGACCTGGTAAGATATGCAGGAAGTCGATGGATGCAGGTGGCTCAGGACCGTGCTTTGTGGCATTCTTTGGGGGAGGTCTATGTTCAGCAGTGGACTTGTGAAGGGCTGTAATGATGATAATGACACGGTAGCATGCATTATATAATTATATTATGTTTTATTCTTATATGTATATCCGTAATTAATTTGTTACACCTTTTCTTACTTAATGTATATATGTATGTATTATATCATAATGTTATAAAAATATGAATATTATATTAATGAAATACTCATATGTTCAAAATTGAAGATATGCAGTTATGATATTTTATCTTCAACATATGATTTTAGTTTATTCTTAAAATGCTTAATATTATTACAATCTTTTATAGTATCCGGTAGATTATTATATAAAAGTACACCCTCACACATTATATTTTTATTGCCATAAGATCTCGTACGAGGCTGCCAGATTTGAAGTTTGTTTTTGTTTTACACTTTGGTGTGAATGTTATTCTTGAATGTATGTTTTTAATATAATTAATAGAATCAGGCGTTACTTTGCGGAAATCCATTATATAAAAGCTTTTACAAATATTTATTTTTATCTTTATATATTATTTTTATATTTTTTTTTATATAATGGGTTTCCGCGGATATTTGCGAAGTAAATTTTTGTAAAAGCTTTTATGTATGTTTCTAGACATTTTTTTAATAATGTGGCATGTGTTATATGTATATAATTGTTTAATGTTTAAAAATTTAGTTTTTCTGTATAGCTCCTTAGTTGGGGTTAGGTAATTGTAATGAAATAGTGTTTTTATTAGTTTACTTTGTGCTCGTTGTAACTAACTTATGTGCGGTTGTGCAGCTGAACCCCATATCTCTATAAGGTACTCCAGGTGTGACTTGGCTAGGGCGTTATAAATAGTAGTTTTGATTTTGTATGGAATATAGTTTGATACCTTTCGTAATGCTCCCGTAAGTGATGCTAGTTTTGATGTTATTTTGTCTATTTGAGAGTCCCATATCAGTTTGTCATCTAATAATAAACCTAGGTACTATTCTTTTTTAGATCTTTTAAGAGTAATATTATTAATCTTAAGTGGTGTGTAGGTAGGTATTTTTTTATTTTTAGCACAGAAAATCATAAATGATGTTTTGGTTACATTAATTGTCAGAAGATTTTATGAAACCACTCATTTAATATATACAAATATGTATGTATAACTCAGTTAATAAATTTTGCTGGTGCCAGCTTCAGTATCCACTTACTGTCAGGTATATAAATACAGAAATTCTATTGAATAAAAGTCCTTACAGATTTTAACGCGTTTAATTAGACTTATTTTTAAATTCCCGACGTCTCGAGTGCTTTGGTCACATGGTCACGGGGGATTGAGGTGATTTACATACACACGCGTGAGCACACACACACAAACACACACACACACACACACACACACACACACACACACACACACACACACACACATACACACACCCAACACACACTCAGAGATCAGTTTATTGTCTTTTTAAAATTTTATTTCTTTACATGCTAAAATTTTAACAATACAACTATGTATTCCTAATCAAAAGGGGGGATAGGTCTGTATCTCCTAAATACAGGTTACTAAGTAACCTAGCTAGGAGACTCAGGATTCTACCCATTTTCAAATTAGTCCTCTTGATGTATTGCATATATTTGTAAAAAGTACGTAAACTATAAAAATGTCAATAAAGATTTATTATTATTATTATTATTATTTGGGGCATCTGGGGCATGAAAATGATAAACATACATAAATATCAACAAAATAAAATAAATGCATAAAAAATACATAAATAAATAAAAACCCAACCAGATGGAAGCCCTCGGCAGGGGAGACCAAACGGCCGAGGGTTAGGGGGAAAGGGAAAGAAACCGGCGGACGATGCGGGCGGTATCGAGGAGCACCGCCTTCTGCATTTGAGCTTGGAGCGGTCCGTCACGGAGTCCCAGTCGCCTCAGATGACCCGAGAGGCTGACTGGGATTAACCCGTTCGCAGAAACGACTACAGGTATAATTTCGGCCGGCAGTCCACCCCACATGTCGGTCACCTCGTGAGCCAGGTCCAGATATTTTGTTCGCTTATCTGTTTCGGCTTTCACGAGGGTCTCGTCATACGGAATGGTAATGTCGACCAAAAATATCCTTGACTCTGCCCGGTCCATCAGCACAATATCAGGCTTATTCGCAAGAATGTTCCTGTCTGTGATGATGGCCCGGTCCCAGTAGAGCCTGGCGCGGTCATTTTCGAGCACGGCTTCCGGCATGTACTTATAATAAGGCAGTTTCCGGTCCACGAGACCGTATTTCAGAGCGAGCTCCTGGTGTAGAATCCTGGCTACTAGGTTGTGCCTATGCAAGTACTCAGAGTTAGAAAGCGCCGAACAACCGGAGATGACATGCCTAAGTGATTCACCAGGATGGCGACAAGCTCGACAAATGTCGACGGTGCCATCCCTTAGGTTGTATCTCCGATAGTTGTTGGTCTTAATAACCTGATCCTGTATCGCACAGACAAAACCCTCGATTTCCCCGAAGAGGTCACCAAAACGTAGCCAGTGGAGGGAGGCAACTGTATCTACGAAAGGCTCATATAGAGCCTTGTAGAACCTCCCGTGGAGCTCCTTCTCCTTCCATACGGTCTCCCGGTCGGAAATGCTCTGTACTGCCGGGTCTTGCCATTGCTCGTTGGCTAAGGATAGAGGGGTAAGTCCTTTATCACAAAAAATAACGTCCCTATAGAATGGATCATCCGCTCTCGACAGAAAATAATTACGGAGGCTGCGCACTTCGCGATTATGCAGGGTAAGCGCGCTTAAAAAGCCGCGCCCACCATGCTTCCGCGGCAAGTACAGCCTCATTACCGACGATCTCGGATGATGCACTCTGTGGGACGTCATTATAGTGCGGACTTTTCTGTCCAGAGCGTTCAGTTCGGTCTGAGTCCACCTGAGTATGCCAAAGGTATACATGAGAACAGCCGTTATAAGCGTGTGTCTTATTAACGCCCGACAAAAGACTGTTAAGCATTTTTGTCAAGCGTGTATAAAACACATCGCAAACTGACTGCTTCATACCCGCCTCATCGACACCGATGTTCTGTGACATACCCAGGTATCGGTATGTTTCAGCCTCGGAAAGGGCCCTTATGCTGATGGGCATAGATAAGTCCATGCCCTCAGAGTTAGCAACCCTTCCCCTTTCGACATGGAGGATCGCACACTTATCCGTCCCCAGCTCCATTCCAATAGAATTGCTAAAATCACAAGTGATGTTTAGCAATTTCACAAGATGGGAGCGACTGGAGGCGAATAACTTTAGATCATCCATATAGAAAAGGTGGGTCACTTTTGTACCTCCTTTCCGAAGCTGAAATCCCCTCCCGGAACCCTCCAGTAAGGTACTGAGAGGGTTCAGAGAGAGGCAAAACCAGATTGGACTCAAACAATCGCCCTGGAAGATACCCCTTCTTATCCTTATGTGGTTCTCCGCAGCCGTCATCCGCTGGCCTAGATGACAAAAGATCGTACTCCACTGCCCCATACACTGCCCGAGGAAGTCTCGAACCGTACAGTGAACCTTGTACAGCTCGAGGACCCTCTTAAGCCATGTATGAGGCACCGAGTCGAATGCCTTTTTGTAGTCTATCCAGGCGGCGGAGAGGTTCCGACGGTTGCGTTTAACCACCTTGCCAATGACCGCGTCAATGAGGAGTGGTTACTTGGTTCCACGACTACCGCCCCGACATCCATTTCTAGCGCGCGACATCACCTGATTTGAGTTCAGGTGACGAGTGATTCTCGCGCTCAAAATGGATGTTAGTGTCTTGTATATGGTAGGTAGACACGTTATGGGGCGGTATTTGCTCGGGTCTGTGGAATCCCGGTCTTTAGGAACCAAATGAGTGATCCCAGTAGTGAAGAGGCTCGGGAGCGACTTTTGGTCGAGAGTCTCTTGAAACTGTCGGGCGAGCACAGCGTGACATACCACGAACCCCTTCAGCCAGTAGTGATGCAGTCCGTCGAGTCCCGGACTTTTCCAGTTCGGGGCCCTACGGACCGCCTCAGCTACGTCATCCGGCGTTATGATGACGGGGTCCATGGGCGTAATATTCGCACACTGACTCGCCACAACTTCCGTCCAAGGGCCCTCGCTGTGGTTTACGGGCTCTGACCACAGGCCGCGCCAGAATGCGATAGTGTCGGCCTGTTTCGGTGCTGGGCCCGTTCCACGTACCATCGGTCGCTCCAATGATTCATAGAGCCCCTTCTGATCACTCTGGAAGAGACGATTCTGGTTGAACCGTGTCGACCTCTCGGTATATCGCCGAATCCGCTTCCCCCAAGCAGCGATTCTCTGCTTCAGGTCGTCTATGCGCTCCGTCAGTTTTTGCGTTATATCCGGCTGGGACAAACTGATATTTGTCCCAGCAAACGCCATCCTAACGGTGCGCGCAATTCTCGGCCTATTATTGCCCAACCTGAAGCTTATCAGTCTGCCGATGAGGACCCCTGCCTTTGCGATACGGTCCTCAATCCTTCTTCTCCAGGCTGGAATGGCGCTACTTTGTCTAGTAGCGCGTCCAGCCGTGGGAAGTTTGGCGCCAATAATACGGCAAACTGCCAGTGCGGCGCCAAAAAGAATTGAGTCCGTCTCGCAAAGGTCCCGGCTGGCTTCCAAATAAGTCACCAGCATTGGGTTAAGAGCCCTCACGACAGCCCGATTCCGCTTGCTTAGGGTTATGCGCGGTAGTCGCGGTCGATTTTCGAGAGGCGTACTGCGCGTTTCCACAATCGCCTCCTCCAATTTACTCCTCATCTGCTCTAGTTCTTGGGTGACCATTCCATCATCGTCTGAATCAACTACAACTGGAAAATCCGCGGCAGCATCGACATGTGCAGATTGTTCTGCAATTTGTGGCGTCGCATTACCAGCTGCAGCATTTTCATTCGATGAGGGAACGGCCTCACGTCGTAGTCGTTCGAGTTCGGCGTCACCAAATATGTTTGAGCGCAGGATGTACCGAACTCGGTCTGCCAGGTTTTGCTCTGATACATGAACAGATGGCTCCAGCTCCGCGAAAAAGCGATGCATCCGAGCCCGATACGCCAACATTCCAGTTTCTTCCCCTTTTGCCCTAAAATACGCTCGCAATGCGTTTGCGTTCATGATTTTTGTCCAACGCATGCGACGTGTTCCACCAGCGGCGGGTGCCACTTGCTGAGTCCGAGAAGACCCAGCCGACACCAAGCCCTCTGGTGGGGATGATGGATGCGGGTGGCTACTAGGTGGTCTTGCAGCCCCCCGCGCTTGGCTGGCGACCCGCATGCTGTCGCGTCCAGCGCCAGCTCCAGACGCGCCCTGGCGACCTCCAGGCAGCGGCCCTTTGCGCACTCTTTTATTTTTTTTTCCATCATCCATTATATGGGCGTCAATTAACGGGAGACGCCCAGGCCCGGCACCGTTTCATGGTGCGGCCATAAGCACAGACGGACCTTTGCACCCTCAATTCTGCCGAGGCACGGCGCACACACCTCTTGGCAAGGCGCTGACTGACTGCACTGACGTAGCAGTTTTGTCACTTAACTGTTACGTCAGCGGGCGGTGGGGTCGTCACTTCCCTACGCCTATTTATTATTATTATTATCTTTTCTACTCCTTTTTTCTCTCAAGATTTTCTAAGATCTTGGTTTTTAAGAAATGCTCACGGGCCTAAGCCAAGTGCGCGTCCCTTTGGGAATCAAAATTTGAGGTGTCTTCTTGCAAAAATTTTCGGACTATACGACAAGTGTTGAGGATGGCTGCTTTTTGCATGTTAATATAACTATTTTCAGGAAGATCTAATAGTTTAAGGGAGTGGGGCAAACATTTCGGGATCACACCAGTACTGGAGAGCACCAGCGGCACAATGTATACTTTGTTCATTTTCCAGATTCTAGTTACTTCTTCTTTTAGTTCTGTGTATTTAAGATTTTTTTCAGTAATGGTTTTTTGTAGATTATGGGTATTTGGGATTGCTATATCAATTAGGTATACTATTTTATTTAATTTGTCAATTAAAGTTATATCCGGTCTATTGTAATGAATCGTTTTATCGGTAAGAATAGCTCTATCAAAGTACATTCTGTGACTGTCGCTCTCCAGAACAGGTTTAGGGGTATATTGATAGTATGGCAATAGTAGTTGGTTCGGGATTAAATTGTATATATTTGCAAGCTTTTGATGAACGTAATTAGCAACCTGGTTACGCCGGTGGGTGTAATCAGTTTGTGCTAGGCTAGGGCAAGCACTGGTGATATGTTGTATAGTTTCGGGTAGGCGGTGACATTTTCTACAGCTATCGTTCTGCATGTTTGGGCCTTTTAATATATATTTTTTATAGTTTCTTGTATTGATTACTTGATCCTGAATAGCAATAAGAAAACCTTCAGTTTCAAGAAAAAGAGAACCTAGTTTTAACCATTTATTTGAAGCCAGTAAGTCGACGTGGGGTTGTTCTAAATCGTGTGCATGTCTACCATGTAATTCTTTACTTCGCCACTTTGATAGCTTTTCTTTTTCATGGTCAATTACTGTAGTAGATCTATTGTCTTATTTACTTAAATTAAGAGGGGTATAATTGATATCGGATTCAATAACTGCTTTATGTAACGGGCTGTTAGCTGATTTTTCATAATAGAAAGATGCAAATTTTTGATTTGCCCTTCCCATATCCTTTTAAGATCGATCAGACTCCTACCCCCTACGGCTCTCTTTATCGTAAGTCGTTCAATTGCCGATTTAGGATGCAAATATTTGTGTTTAGTCATTGTAGTCCTAGTTTTGATTTCCAGATTTCATATATCTGTGGATGACCATTTAATAACTCCGAAAGAATAGGTAAGTATTGGGATGGCAAAAGTATTAATAGCTTTGAATAAATTTCTAGAATTAAGTTGCTTTTTACAAATTAGATTCAACCTGCGGAAATATTCATTACTGAGATCCTTTTTAATAGCAGTATGGTCTGTACATCTTCCTTCACGTAAACCTAGATATTTATATGTATCATTTTCGTCCATCAATGTAAACATATCGTATTGATTTTCTGTATTACTGTCGACTCTACCTTTATGAAGTTTAAGTGTTTTGCATTTATCTAAACCGAAGGTCATGTTTATATCTTTACTGTACTCAGCTGTAATTTTTATGAGGGATTCATTTATTTTTCTGATTTGGCAAAAAGCTTTATATCATCCATATACATTAAATGATTGACATAGGTGTCTTTAGTTAATTTATACCCATGATTGTTTTTGTTGAGCAAGGAAGATAAAGGGTTAAGAGCCAGACAAAACCACAGTGGGCTCAATGAATCTCCCTGTAAAATGCCATTAGCGATTGGTATATCTTCAGTGACTATAGTTTTAGTGCCGTCATTAAGGTGAAGTTTAGTTTTCCATTTGCTCATAACTCCTTTCAGGAAAGTAATAATATCCGGGCTGATTTTATAAATTTGCAAAACTCGTATTAGCCAAGAGTGTGGTACACTGTCGAATGCTTTTTTATAGTCAATATATGTAAGACTAAGATTACGGTTGTGAGTGGTAGCGTGTTTTATCACTGTTGAATCGATAATGAGTTGTTCTTTGCATCCTCTGTGATTCTGTCTGCATCCTTTTTGTTCCTCCGCTAAAACTTTGTTATGTGTTAAATGCGTATTAATTTTTAGTGTTATACAAGAGGTGATTAGTTTGTATATAGTTGGGAGACACGTAATTGGTCGGTACCGTGAGGAATCTGCTGTATTATCACTTTTGGGAATCATGTAAGTAGTACCTACGGTTACAAATGATGGGATCTCTGACGCGCCTTTTAATATATCTGTAATAATTTTCGCTAAAATATCGTGGAGTGCCGAAAACTTTTTATACCAAAAGTTGTGAATATTATCGTTTCCAGTAGCTTTCCAGTTTTTCATTCTTTTGGTAATATGTTCTACCTCTAATTTTGTAACTTCTGTGAATTTCATCGATTCAATGGTTTCTGCTTTGTTCTCTTCTTCTTTGATCCAACTTGCCTGTTCATTATGTTCTTTATTTTTCTTCCATATGTCAGCCCAGTAGTTTTTGAGTTCTTCTTCAGTTGGAACTTCCTTGGGCTCATTGGATACATTACTTACGTTATGTTTGAGTGATCTATAAATCCTTTTTCATTAGTCTGAAATAGTCTATTGTCTTCTTTTCTTTGTAGAATAGTCTATTGTCTTCTTTTCTTTGTAGTTATTATTATTATGGGGGTTATCTATAAAGTTTTCTCATCTGGTTGGGCTGTTTAAATATATAATTGTAAACGAAATATATAAACATACATAAATATCAATAAAATAGAATATATACATAAAAATACATAAATATATAAAAACCCAACCAGATGGAAGCACTCGGCAGGGGAGACCAAACGGCCGAGGGTTAGGGGGAAAGGGAAAGAAATCGGCGGACGATGCGGGCGGTATCGAGGAGCACCGCCTTCTGCATTTGAGCTTGGAGCGGTCCGTCACGGAGTCCATTATTATTATTATTATTATTATTATTATTGACGTCCCGATGTCAGAGTTAACCCGGAGTACAGAATGAACTTACTGTGTCTTGAAGTCTGTCAGTGGCATGCTTGGGTTTATTTTTAATTTTATTAATTACAGGATCCCAAGCAGGTGGTGGTACCCAGCCACCTCCTCTATTGAAATTAGGATGCTTTTAAATTTAAATATCCTCACGTATCATCGTTGGCAGAAGTCGATGTTCTTTTGTGAGGATTTGTGATCTATCAAATCTGATGTAATGGCGAGGACCGTCTAAGATATTATCACAAACTGCAGACTTCCCGGAGAGTTGATGTTTCACGCCAGTTATGTGATCTATAACGCGAGTTTTAAAATATCGTTTTGTTTGCCCTATAGAGAATTTCAAACTCGAATAAAAAAGAAATTGGATTTACTTATAAAAACTTATCTCAATGAGTTTCTGTATATATATTCGATTCAGCATGTGTAAAATAAAAAAAACTTTTAAACGCATTGCGTGGATATCTTACGACTCTTTGAAATTTTCTCTATAGATACTCACTAGAGACTTTACATTCTTTACATTTGTATTCCATTACTTAATTGAAATACTGTCAAAATATTTACCTTTGAAGTTATTTGAATTCAACCCATTTATTTTATGATACATTTACAAACAAAATTTTCTAAACTTTATTTTGAAAAGCACAAACCTTATTAAGAACGAAACAATAATATGGAATGCAGCTTTTTAATTTACAAAAATGTATTTATGTATAAATATAAACAATATGAACATAAAATGATAATGATTGAGAACCCGGGTTTTTTCTTGCCATGGCTCCGCAGTTTGGCTTGAATGCCAAATACGAATATTTAAGATCTTTATTTCATATTTGTAGGAGTGAAATTGCAAAAATATCTATAAGCTTTTGCTATATCGGCGGCAGGATGCGAGATGTTGATATCTCCAGGTATCGTGATTGCTTCCCTATAATCTCCCATGTTAATAATAATAAAAATAATTCTCGGGGATCATATACTGTTTTTTCGGTGAGTGGTAAGTGTAAATTAATCAATCATTACTGCCCTTAACAAGTGCACTGATGAACATAGGCCTCCGTCGAGGCCGTCTTACACTTCTCCTGCCGGCACAAGGCTGCCACTCGAGAACCCTTTTCCAAATCGGTTGTCGGTTCTTCGATCTATATGGTCAGTTCATTGACACTTCAGCTTAATAATTCATTGGGCTATGTCGGTTAGTCTAGTTGAAATGTGGATAACCTCATTCCTTAGTTTATCATTTAGAGAAACTACGAGCATAACCCTCTCCATAGCTCGAACAACCTTGAGCTTCCTCATATGGCTAGCAGTAGAGAACCACGTCTCAGAGCCATAAATTATCACTGGTAGCACTGACTGCTTGTGTTGTGATGTTGTATCTTGTTTTCAAGTTTTGAGGTATGGCGATCTTGGATGTTGCATCATTGGGGACGTCATAATAGTGCGAACTTTTCTATCCAGAGCGTTCAGTTTGGTCTGAGTCCATCAGATTATGCCAAACTATACATGAGGACTAGTATGACTCAACCGTTATATGTGTGTGTTTTACAATTATCCGTCCCCAGCTCCATTCTGATAGAATTGCTGAACTCACAAGTGATATTTTTTCATAGATTACAGGTCAGAAAAACACACACACACATACTCACAGTCCACCCGGTGGTAAGTGGATGCTGATACCCATAGATATATACATTTATCCTCAATTAAGAATCAAAATGCAGATGCATTGTCACCCCTGAGGACTAAGATGGAATGCCTCGTTTCCAGTTAAAAGGATCTCCGGTTCTCTACTCTCACCATACGAAACAGCAGAATTAAGCTGCTATTTTGTAGAGGTATTCTGTGAGAGCGTGGTCCTACGTACTCCGGTCGAGCCGACCCATTCGTGCTACAACTAAAATATAGCTGCAGCGTGACTCTACCTTGTAGAAAATAAGATAGAGTTCATAAGACGGGTGCTACTGGAAGGGAATAACTTGAGATCATCCATATAGAAAATGTAAGTCACTTTTGTACCTCTTTTCCGAAGCTGAAATTCTCTCCCGGATCCTGTCAATAAGGTGCTAAAAGGGTTCAGAGAGAGGCAGAACCAGATTGGACTCAGAAAATCGCCCTGGGAGATTGTACACCCTTCTTATCCTTATGCGTCTTTCCGCTGCCGTGATTCACTCACTTAGATGACAAAAGATCATATTACACCATACACTGCCCTAGGAAGTCCCTAACTGTACAGATAACCTTGTACAGTTCAAAGACCCTCGTCAGCCATGTATGAGGCATCGATTTGAATGCCTTGCCTTTTTTTTATAGAAGAGGGGGCAAAAGAGCATGCGGCTCACCTGATGGTAAGTGACTATCGCCGCCCATGAACAACTGCAACACCAGGGGAATCGCAGATGCGTTGCCGGCCTTTTAAAAAGGAGTACGCTCTTTTTTTGAAGGTCCCCAAGTCGTATCGGTCCGGAAAAATCGCTGATGGTAAACGATTCCACAAGGAAGTCGTGCGAGGAAGAAAACATCTTCTAAATCGCACAGTGGTGGACTGCCAATCATCTAGATGGTGTGGATGGTATCGGGAGATCTGCCGCAATGTGCGTTCGTGAAATTTGGCGACTGGGATTAATCTGAACAATTCCTCAGAGCACTCCCCGTGGTAGATGCGAAAGAAAATGCAAAGGGATGCAACATCTCTTCGCAGTGCCAATGAATCGAGCCGGTCGGAAAGGACTCGGCCGTCGACGATTCGAGCCGCTCTGCGCTGGATGCGGTCAAGTGGAAGGAGCTGGCACTGGGAAGCCCATGCCCAGAGATGAGAACAGTATTCCATGTGAGGCCAAACCTGCGCCTTGTTAAGTTTTTTTTTATAGGAGAGGGGGCAAACGACCATGCTACTCACCTGATGGTAAGTGACTACCGCCGCCCATGAACAACTGCAACACCAGGGAGGGAATCGCAGATGCGTTGCCGGCCTTTTAAAAAGGAGTACGCTCTTTTCTTAAAGGTCCCTAAGTCGTATCGGTCCGGTTAAATCGCTGATGGTAATCGATTCCACAAGGAAGTCGTGCGAGGAAGAAAACATCTTCTAAATCGCACAGTGGTGGACCGCCAATCATCCAGATGGTGTGGATGGTATCCGTAGTTCTGCCGCGATGTGCGTTCGTGAAATTTGGCGGCTGAGATTAATCCGAACAATTCCTCAGAGCACTCCCCATGGTAGATGCGAAAGAAAATGCAAAGGGATGCAACATCTCTTCGCAGTGCCAATGAATCGAGCCGATCGGAAAGGGCTCAGTCGTCGACGATTCGAGCCGCTCTGCGCAGGATGCAGTCAAGTGGAAGGAGCTGGCACTGGGGAGCCCCTGCCCAGAGATGGGAACAGTATTCCATATGAGGTCGAACCTGCGCCTTGTAAAGTTGCAGGCGGTGTGCCGGCATGAAATACTGTCCCGCTCT